CCTAACCCTAACCCTAACCCCTAACCCTAAGCTGAACCTGAACCCTAACTCCTAACCCTAACCCTAACCCCTAACCCTAAGCTGAACCTGAACCCTAACCCTAACCCTAACCCTAACCCTAACCTGAACCCAAACCCTAACACTAACCCTAACCCTAACCAGTGTGGTGGGAGCCGCGTCCAGCTTCCCCCACACCAACAAACCCTAATTTAGGGCTCACCCCAGCCTTCCTTTTTCCCTCTATAGACCCTTCCCCCCTCCTCCGCCCCCAAACATCAGTGAGGTGGGTGGCCGACGGCCCTGCTAGAACAAGCTCTGCCTAAACAGTCTGTGCCTGTTCTCCTGTGCATGGTCTTCCTCTGTTTCTGCAGGTTCCACGCTCACTCAGTAATAAAATCCTCCGCTTTCTCTTTTCACCACAGTGGAGGGACTTTCTGGGTTGGCAGGAGTCTCTGTTTTGAGTCCCGTTTTCCGGGCAGCGCAGTGGAGGACGCCGGGATGGGGGCCCAGCGGGGATTAAATGATCCACAATGTCCCGTGAAAGTCCAGCTGGGGCCCTGCCCTCCCACTTCACTTCTGCAAAAAGATTCTGGAAGCGCCCAGGTGACCAAGGGGAGATTAGAGTCTCACAGACTCTCGTCCTGGTGAAATCCCAGACACGGGGCACTCCTGTGCGAAGACAATGACCCCAAAATGAGATCCTCACCCTGGTAAAGCAGCGATTGTTTTTCTAAAGCGAGAAATAGAAACGCACTCTATTTCTATCTCTGCAGCAACACATTCTCGTGACCAGCACGGGGTCTAGCAGAAACGAAAACGAAAACACAATTGCTTTGAAATCCTAAAGGCAAAGAAAGACGGGCTTGGAAAGAAGGAATGAGGGAAGTTACAAACAAAACAAAACAAAACAGGCAGTTGGCTGGGATGTGACTGATTCCAAAAGGAATCGTGCCTTAAAACAAAGAATTTCTTAAAACACCCAGACGGGAAACAGTTACTCACATAAAAATCTGTCCTATTTATGGCCTTTTACACCAGACCGTGAGCTGAACTTTTGCAAAGTTTTTACGGGGAAACCGTGTTCTTCTTCCTTCCTTCCCTCCTTCCTTTCTTCTTCTTTCTTCCTTCCTTGCTTTCTTTCTGTTTCTTTCTTTCTTTCTTTCTTTCTTTCTTTCTTTCTTTCTTTCTTTCTTTCTTTCTCTTTCTCTTCTCCCTCCCTGCCTCCCTGCTTCCGTCCTTCCTTCCTTCCTTCTTTCTCTTTCTTTTCTCCTCCCCATTCTTTCCTGTTTTAGCCCAGATGCATAACGATGCCCCAAACTGCACTTCCGCGACCCCACGTGGATCTCCCTCCCCACTTTCTCCCCTCTGGGGCCATAAAACACCATTTCGTTCACGCACTTTTCCTTATACGTAAGATTTTTTTTTTTTTTTGCTGGTGCTGTTTTAGTGCAATTAAAGCACGTGGAAACACTTCAAAAGCAAAAGCACAAAAAGGTGGGGAAAGAGCATTTGTACGAAACACGAGCACAGCCTGGGTTTTAGCTCTGCCCTCTGAAATTTTCCAGTAACACTTGGATCTTCGCGTTCAGTTGTCTTCAAGTTTGTGGCTCGGTCTCCGGTGGGTCCCTCCGGGTCCTTCTTTCTGCAGAGGGGTGACATCCTCAGGGAGCGAAAGCTCCCCCAGGGCAGGTGTTTCCAGCTGTGCTGTGCATGAGACAGAGGCGGTCTATTCCCTCCCGCTGCCCGGCCAGAGCGTCACCCGCCCGCCACCTCCTCGTGCGGACCGACTCAGAACCCCAGAGATCATACGACGATTATTTTAAGCTGAAAACATTGAACGTTCAACAGATGCAGAAAGAAGGTTTCTTGGAGCTTCCCTTACCTGACCAAAACCCAGAAACTTCCAGGAAACGAGGCTGCCACAAATTCCCTCTTTGGGGTGACTTTTACTACCAGGAAGGATACCAAGAGTAAACCTGCCACAGATCTGCTCTCTGAAGGAGTTTTATGGCCACTAAAAACACCGCTTGCACCTGCATGAACAAGCATCATCACAAACTCTCCTATCTTCCATATTCTTCTAGAAACCCATCTGCCCCGAGAGGCAGTATTGAGACACGGGGCCTCTATGAGCTGACTGGGTGAAGAGGGTTCTGCCTTCACGAACGGATTAATCCACTCAGGGATTAACACATTCATGGTTGTCACGGGATTGGAAATGGTGGCTTTATAAGAAGAGAAGGAGACACTTAAGCAAGCATGTTGGCCCCTCACCATGTGACGCCTGTACTGTCCCCAAAGATGTCCACATCCTAATCCCATGTTGGAGACAGAACAATGTCCCCAAAGATATCCACGTCCTAATCCCCATGGGGTAGACAGAATAATGTCCCCAAAGATGTCCACATCCTAGTCCCATGTGGTAGACAGAATAATGTCCCCAGAGATGTCCACATCTGGTGCCCTGTGCATGCTGTCAGGGAGGACACACCCCTAAAACTTGAACAAAGGTCACCGTTTATGGAGCAGCCTGGACAGCACCTTCCGTGGTCACATTTGAAGGGGAGGGATCGGCCCCTTGGACTGCAAGCATCTTAGCCACGTATCACATTTTTTAAAAAATAAAAAAATATAGAAAACTCTATAAAGGCTCACAGCATGAACAACAACAAAAAATAAACTTCCAGAATGTCCTGGGCGTGCAGAGACGTGTCCGTCCGCTTCACACGCCATCCGGGGCTCCTGCGACTTCTTCTACGGTCAAGACCTCTTCGGTGTCCCCTTTTCCCTCCCCTGGCGTGAATTCCTCCCAGGCAATCTGAGGAGGAGACGAGAGCCGTGAGCGCCGGGTTTCCGTGTGGCCTGTGTACGCCGGGGTTGCTGCTCCCGGGACGCAGATGTGACAGGGGGTCTGTGTGTGTGTCCATTTGTGGTGGAAGAGTGAGCGGGATGGCCTTGGGGAGGGCTGGTGAGTGTGGATCTCGAGTGGAACAGGGCACGTGCAAAGGCCCTGGGGTTGCACGGAGATTGGAGGGGCGGAGAAAGGAAGGAGGAGGCATCTTGTCCTGGTGCCTGGACACGGTGGGGCTCAGAGGGGAGCGGGTTCATGGGGGAGGAGGCTGGCTTGTGGGTGGATGATGATGGAATGAGAGAGGTGCTGAGTCTAGGATGGGGGTGAAGGACCAGGGGGAAGCGCACTGAGCAGGACACAGATCCAGCCACCCCCTGCGATGGCTCCGCGGTCCCACGGGGTGGAGATGCAAGAGATTTCGGGGATGCCCCATGCTCCCCGCCCCCCACCATCCCCTGGGGCTCTCTACCTGCCCCACGGGGTCACCCACCTGGTGGTTTTCGCTCAATTTGTCTTTGATCTGCGGAATTGGGGGGAACAGCCTGTGTACCCCGAGGAACCTACGGAGACAAAGAGAGAGCGTGAAGACGCCGCTGCCGACAAGGCTTCACGCACCTGCATGGGGCGCCTCGTGACCCCGCGGCCCTCGTAGCGTCCGCGCTCGACTGTCCGGAACGACTCCGCGTAGAATCACCCAGGGACTGAAAAACAGGAGACGCTGCAGAAGCACCCATGCCAAGGACGAATCTTTCTAGAATCTTCCCCCTGGGGTGCAAATGGGCAGCTTTGGGTAGTCCAGGGACCCCAGTGTTGATAGTCTGAGGTCCCATAAGACACACGTCTCCCCTGCTCCCCGCAACCTTGAAGAGCGTGGGTTTCCCGCTTGGCGGTTTTTTGTTCCGTTTTCTGTGTTGCCGTGTTATCCTATAATTTAAATATCATTATTCAACCAGGACACTTTTTATTTTTTGCCAATATCACAGTCTTGTTGCATTTTTTTTTTTAATTTTTACTTCTTTCTTTTCTTTTTTTGCAAGAAGTCTCTATCTACAAGAAACCTTGTTGCATTTTTTTTAAATTTTTA